AAGTCTCAAGTGTTTTCAAACGTATTTAAACATAATGTACATCAGAATCAATTATTAATGAAGAGTATGATAATTCAACTAAACTATAACGATGAAGTGCACATGAAAATGTCCTACATTTTCAAGTGAATTTTGATATTATTGAATAATTCCAAGTTGCACTATTAAAATGATAAAACGTGGCCGATCTGAAAAACAATTTGTGCGCAAATTGCGATGCAGGAAACGTGTCAACTGTCACCGCATCGATGTCACCAATCCCAATAACCAATTAAATATATTTTAATGCTGGAAAGGGAGAGACACTTGCGAGGAAGTCTTTTTTTTTTAATAGGCCTATTCAATTTTGGCAAAATGAATGTATCCTTTGAACGGTTTCAGTGAGAGCGATCTATATGTTTTTTTAAATGAAACATCCTTACGCAGGTTAGGTAAAAAGGTATACTGTCGAGAACGAGCGAGCGCGATCTTACTCGTATTTTGTAAGTAGGCTCCACAAGTAAGCAGTCTTTTTTGTCAGACGTTTGTATGTGATTAGTTTTAATCTCCATTCTCCAATAGTCCCGCCGCCCGTCACCCGAATCTTTTTTTGTTCAACAAAAACAATTGGTGGAGGTCGGTGCTCATTGCCTTAGTAACGCCACTAATATACAAACGCGTCATTCCGTCTGTCGTCACTAGTTCAGTCTCGCTCGTGCTGTGCTTGTTCGTTAGGTTACTCGCACGGTGAAACGACGACGTACTCAACGTGTAGCTCACTACAAACTTTGTTAAACTTTATATAAAAGTAGAGTTTAGATTGCGTTTTTACGTATTACGACTCATAGCTAGCGATTCTCGTGGTAAAAGTGAAACGCATTTTATTTAAAAAAAAACAAGATGGAAGACGAGCGACGTGAACTTGTTTGGAAACTAGTACATATTTTAATCAAAAATTGCAACGGCCGTGTACCTAATCTCAAAGGCATTTTTCGGCCAGAAGAAATTGATTGGCTTCTCTCGGAGTCTTTAAAGTCCAAAGACCAAGTGAATAATCGGAATCTTATGGAATTGTTCATTCAAAACGGTTACAAGGACGAGCCCAAAGTTGACGAAGAAGGCAAGCCACTGCTGCGTCGCACCACTCCGGTGCATCAAGTGTCTGGATACAATTACATGAATGACATGTACACGGTCAGTAGGCTTTTTGAAATATACAACAGGTTTGACGCGAATTACGTCGATGAAGATGGATTTACACATTTTCACGCGGCCTGCAAGTTTGGCTGTGACGAAGCCGTCGCGAAATTCCTCGAGCACGGCCAGGACCCCAATCTTCCCGTGCCAAAAACAAGCGATTCGCCTCTGCACTTAGCTCTACTTCAGAGAATTTTTGTGCGCAACGAACACAAAAAAGTAGCCGAATTGTTGCTGAGAAAAGGCGCCGATCCGAGAATAGCCAATGCAGAGGGATTGACGCCACTTCACCTATTTTGCAATGTATTGTACGGCGCTGACTTGGCAAAGATTTCATTGGACTTGAGCAAAGAAAAACATCAATTGATACAGGTTGACGTTCGGGACAGGTCGGGCAAGACACCGCTACACTTGGCTTTGGACTGCTGCAACGAGAAGATGGCCAAGGTGCTATTGAGAAATGGGGCGGATCCCACCCTAACCAATGCAGAGGGGTTCACTGCTCTGCACATCGTTTGTTGGAAGTGGCCAGATAGTCGTGACTCTGTAGAGATGTTTTTTGAGATCGGCGAAGAAAAACGCCAGCTGGTTCAGGTCGATGCCCGGGACAACTTGGGTCGGACACCGCTGCAATGGGCCGTTGCGGGTCTTGGCTTGAATTTGATCGATGCACTATTGGATCGGGGCGCAGATCTGTCTAATTTCACTTTTCCTACTGCAAGTCACTTCGACGAGTACTCTCGAGCGTATCAAAGCATGAGTATAATAAAAGTAAAAAAAACCTTTGAGCACCTGGCAGTCGTCGAATGTCTTCAGAAAAGAGGATACAATCTGCAACCGAACGATGCCCTGACGATCATGGCATTATTCTACAAGCACGAAATATTGGAGAAATCGAAGAATCTTGAGGTATGTTGGTATGATGATGAAGAGTTCGTGTGTAAAGCGAAAAAGATTATGATCATACCGGGTCAATCTTGCGATGTTGACGAAGATTATGACGACGACGATAACTATAACGACGACGATAATTATGACGACGACGATAATTATGAAGATGAGGAAGAGAACGAAGACGAAGGCTCATCAGATAGTTCGAAGCTGTCCCTGTACGATACGATACAGTTACGACCCGAAGAGGCGGAGAAAGTACTCACTTATTCGGACTACTTTAAGTTTGTAAGCCACAATAACTTTTGGAGATTCTCTGAAAGACATCGGAAAGCTTGTGCTTTGCATCTGTGCGAAAAAATGTCAAGAACATTTTTCCGGCACTGGACATTGGCTCCTTTTTTGCGGCTGACACGCTACCAACTGCCGATTCTATGCTGTGAAAAGATCATCAACGAACTGAAGAACGAGGATTTGTGGCATATTTGCTCGGCGGCTCTTCAGAGCTCATGAGTCTGATGAAGCAAGTTTGTTACAATTTTGAGATTGTTGCAACTTTTTCACATCATTCAAATGAATTTTAAGTTTTTGTGTTGTTATTTTGTTTCAATTTTATTTACAAACTGTGAAAAATAAACAATAGAAATCTACTCGCCATAAAGTTTTGGGAGAATATAAAATTTCATAAAATACCAATTATAAAATTAAAGTGATTGAACGAGCTATATTTACGACACTGATAGAATTCACATTTATGTTAACAAGAAGAAAGTTTTACATTTTGTATCAATTGATCAAATTTTAATTTATTTTCCTTAGATGTTCCACAGATATTACTGTGTAAAATAAATAGGTATGAAAAAATCAAATAAAGTATATCTTGTCAATTATCATTCTATTTTATTGTAATTATAAATTTTGACATGATCAGAATATCGCAATTAACTTATCCCTACTAGGATCCCAAGTTTTATAATAAATATGAGTTTCACTTGAAATAAATGATTTAATATTAACTATTCAATCAATATATTTTTGACAATTCTCTTGAAAACATTAGTAGTTCTATTTGCATTTTGAAAATATTTTTTAATTTAAAGTGCTCTCTTACAAATAACGCAACATGTTTATTCTTTTAAGCGTTTGTGATGTGCAGAATGTGACTTATTGTATGATGATGTTGATCATCAAATTAATCTGTTCTGGACACGGTTTTTCCACAACTATTATGGGGTATATGGATTTTGAGATATCCCTCGTATAAAAATGTCTTTCTACACATGTGACATGGGTGACTGATACGATGGTGCTCTGAATCAATATGGAGATTTCCTTTTTGTTTCCCTATAACAGGACCATTACCAGCAGTGAAAGCCAAAGTTCTTGAAATTTCATGAGCAGATGAATAGTAATAAATACGAATCTCTTACAAGTATTACAGGTTTTACAATTACTACCTGCTATTACTACCTATTACTACTTGCTAAGCTTTTCTGCAATATAAATAACTCATTTAATAGCACCGCTATTGAGAAAAGTTGAACAATAAAAATAGGTGTACATTTTAGCGCTATGAAATACTATACTACATAATTTGAACCTTGATCAGTTCAGAGTTAAATGCTCGTATTACCCCCAAAAATCCATATCTCAAGGTAGGCGTTTTTATTCACGCACTGCAGTGGTTAGAGAAACATGCTTGTCCAAGCAATTCACAGGCTTATCCCTGAAATGACATGCAGCAGACACGCCTGTGGCAAGTATTGTACCGAGAGTCGTCGATATTCTCTTGAATCGTGGCGTGGTCTGTCAAGCTTTGACGAAACATTTAAAAATCGGTCTTATCAATCTTGATCTTAAATTCAAAATTAAGACTTCTCGGTTTTCTGGGGTCATTGTCGAGTGTCTTCGGTCGAATTTCGTCGAACGTACAAACAGTCATGTTATTATACTTTTATTAGTGTTTCCAACGCAGTTTCCAACGGAACATCAGTACACAAGTATTTGAGTGTACATTTTTATTTACTTATACATTCATCCAATTTTCATGCCACATCTGAATTTTATGCAACGCTTATAGACTATACTAGCGCATTTTACCTAAATCGCCGGCGCTCGCTCGGGTTTTTTCCACAGTTTCCCCGGACCTACTTTCCAGAAATTTCCACTTTCGATTTCTAAAAAGAAGCCATATGGATCTTTTATCTATCGATCTATCTACATACTGTAACTTTCTTTTCATATTTTAATTCTGAGTTAAAACTTCATCTGTTGTCCATGTGCGGAGGGGGGTCGAAAATCCGAAATTACTTTTAGCCGAATAGTGGTTTTTATAGATCAGATTATTTATTAGCGTCCGATGCTGTTGTTTAATGATCCTACCTAATGGTTAAATAAGAATCCAATAATTCAGTTTTCAAAATATCATAATCATCATGAAAGTTCATTTATCCTAAACGTGAATGAACTAAATTCAAAAATCTTCAATTCAGTATGATTTTACCATAAATCTAGTGTGGAAATGGACTGATATCATTTTAAATTGAAGATTTTTTAATTTAGTTCATTCACGTTTAGGATAAATGAACTTTCAATAATAATAAGTTTTCGTAAATGAGCTCTTAGTTTCACGATGATTAAGATATTTTGAAAACTGAATTATTGGATTCTTATTTAACCATTAGGTAGGATCATTAAACAACAGCATCGGACGCTAATAAATAATCTGATCTATAAAAACCACTATTCGGCTAAAAGTAATTTCGGATTTTCGACCCCCCTTCCATGTGCTTCTTCGACTTGTCAAGAAAAACACGTGCTCGCCTGGTCCCTGGAGAGTCGCGCGCATTTATATACTTTGTCATTTGTGTCTGCTGCGCACACGCGGTTAAATTTGTAAATACAGTAAGTTCAGTAGACCGGTAGACGTCTATACGAGCAGACCTACGAATTCGATTCGGTAATATTTTTAAATTGCATTAGATTATTGTTCGATGTGCAAAATTCATTAACAAAATGAATAACGACCTATCTGAACTTCAGAGGATCAGGTGGACGGATCGCGAACTCGAAAGGCTCATCGAAGATGATTGTTCGTGCGTGAATTTAATCAGGGCGAAAAAGTGTATAGGGCTGCCTCCCTCTCATTTCGCAGATGATAATATTTTTCGTATTGCCTTGATAGAATCAATGAGAAAATATTTATATCGCTACGATCGTGTGTAAGTACTGATTGATGTAATTATTTTTGGTGCATTTGTTTTTTTTTAATCGAATGTTTATTTTGCATTGATTTGCTCATTTTGAATCAGTTTCAAATTTATCAGTTAAAACATTTTTGTATCGTAGATTGGATGGATTGCTAATAACATACCGGAATGGTAAGTTTTTGGGCTGCAGCGGAGATATGGTGAATGGTTTATTAGAAATACAATGTAATATAGAAGCAGATTTTTATATTTTCCAACCAAAAGTTGGGGAACGCTTAAGAGGTAAGTTTTTAAATATTGAAAACTACTATGAATTGGTAAATTAATGCTTGGTGAACTTTTTTTATTACAGGGAGAGTAAAAGAAGTTACGGCTGATTATATAGAGCTAGTGATCCATAAGGGTATAAATGCCACAATTCCTAAACCATTATTCAGTGATGAATTGTGGATTGGTGACACATTATCTGTCAATCAGAAAGTACTATTTACACCCACTATCATTGATCTTCGTTCTTACTCTCTTGACATACAAGGAACTTTCAATGAAACATAGTATGAAATTTCATATAAATTTTTAATTAATTTTAATGGTTATTTATAGAAAATTAAATAATTTAGTTATAATTTTTTAGTGAACATAACTTTGAATATGAAAAGAACTTAATTCTTTCATCAGAATCTGAATCAGATTCAGAAGAACAAGATGAGAAAGAAGAATAAGAATGTGTTTCTTTGGTCTCTGATTGGTCTTAGCATTTGAAAAGACTGTGTATAGTATGCTGCTTATGCAAAGGCGCAGAATTTAAAATTAAATTCACATTAACATTTTATTTATATTAGAAGTAAGGAATTGTTGTGATATTATGAGTTAAAAGATTATACTGAAAGTTTATATGTATGACCTGTTAAACTTGTGAAGAATATTTCAATCAAAGAAATTTTAACCCCATGTACTGAAATAGTAGATAATTTAAAACAATGCATTTTATATAAACTGTAAATATAAACTAATTTTAAAATAAGCATTGTCTATAAAATTTCTTTGATTGAATTTTCACTTAAAAATTTTAATGATAACCCATGTAATATAATAATTTGAGAAAATAATCATGACTATTGTGATATGACTTGACGATCATGCTGATTGTTTCATAGTTAATAAGAAAATGTGCTACATGGTGCTACAAAAACGTAGCGGTTTTTAGTCTCTTGCTTGATCGACCAATACTTATCAAAAATGAATTAAAGAAAAAAAAATGTACAATTCACTGTTTGATTTATTCATAATTTCACCTCACTTATGTCTCACATAATAAAAACACTCTACGCATGACTTGCGTAGTTAATACAAAAATAAAAATAAAAAACACTAAAAATTGTATACAATATTCTAAATTCTCACTCCTTGACGAAGATCTTACAGTCTTTCATTTTCAGATTGTGGAATTAATGATGCTTGCATGAATTGATTTATAGAACTTGGTAGACTTCGTAATCGGAAAACTTATCATTGTCTGACCAATTGTCACTGTCTTTGTCATTACCTGATGACTTATCATCCAAATTGAATTTTTTTACCCACTTTTGAAGCTCGATACCAGTTGGCACTTGTTCAAGTGTTTGATTAAGGGGAGGATTTGTCACCAAAAAGGCACCTTTTTTAATGTGTTGATTCAAATATTTCCAAATTTGAGTCTGTTCTTCTATAGTAAGATAAAATTCAAATGAGTTGTTAATTACAACTACATCAGCTGATGCCACAATGTCAGGAACATTTTGAATTTTATCATGCACAACTTTTATACGGTCGTCCATGTTGTATTTCTGGATGACTTCATTTTGCAAAGTGCAGAGTTCTTCATTCATTTCAACACCAATGATGCTCTTAGCATCTGTGAATACATGAGCCTAAAAAGAATTTATTTATTATAAATTTGCCATTGAAACAAAAAGATACATAAAATGATTAAATTGCTTACCCCATATAAAACTGCTCCAAATCTAGATCCAATATCCAATACAGTCTTGTCCTCAATTGTTGGTAGTCTGTCATTGAAAATGTAATAGAGGGCATCTTTTGACATTGAATGTGATATGAATACTGCAAAATTAAAAAATTTGTTATATATTTGGTAGTTTTTCTTTAGAACATGATTTTCTTTATTTTACTTACTCAGAGGTTTAATATTTTTTGATTTGCATTTCGTACAATAGAAACGACTCATTTTTCCTTGATCAACGAGATCGTCAATATCTTCATCATCATATAAAAATTCATCTACACTAATTGTGATGTCTGGTTTGCAGTCAGAATTCTGGTAACATAAATCAAGTTTATTGTAAACAAATTTACCTATTATGATCTGTAATAAAAGTGTTTATCTAAATTACCTTGCTGCTATCCTGGGGAACTACGAACTTTTCTGAAGGAAGTATAGCTTCCAAAGGAAGAATTTTTTTGACGTGCTCAGCAATAGTATTTAATTTAACAATGGGATCGTTTAAGATATCATCATCAAAGTCTTCATCACCTTTAACTTTTGTAAAGCAAGTTTGAAATAAGTAATTTTAATATGAGTGAAAAAATTGTAACTAGCGTAAATTTATTTACCTTTTGGGTTTTTGCCTTGATTGTACAAAGAATAAATTCCAGCTTGAGCAAGGGCTTCAAAAGCAAATGAAAGAAATTCATCTTTATCCTCATTTTTCACTGACTGCAACAACGATTCGAACTTCGATTTTGCTTGTGAAAACGATAAATTTGCCATGATTGTATTTATAAGTAGTCAATAAAAAAATACTGTGAAAAAATTAACACGATATTACAAAAAGTAGCTAGAGACTCTAGAGATAACGTAAGCTCTCTTTATCGTTTTGTATAGCAGCCGGCTGTATGTTAAGAATCACGTGGCGAGACCGGCCGTACCGAAATTACTGTCACGTGGGTCACGAAAGTGCTCGCGCATATACTATAGTTTTTCGTTCAAACTCGTAAAACTGCACTGTTCACTAAGAAAACTTTGAATATTAATCATAATATCGTTTTCATATTATAATTTTGCAAAATGTGTCAATTGTATTAGTCGATTCGAAATGTTTAGTAAAGCGAATTATTTTTAGGTGAAACTTTAGGGATATTTCATTTTTTACCTATCCTACTCTTCATACCACTTTTCATTACAAAAATGATTTTATTAAAAAAGCAATAATAAGTAATAAAATCTTTATTGCTATACACTTTGATTTGAAGATATCATGATTTTTTCAGCTTTTTTGGCTAACTCATCTATATCCTCAGAAGCTTTTATATAAAAATTTTCAATGTAATTTGTACTGTTTGATTTTGTTTCATTTAAATAATATCTGTAATTGACCATAATGCCACAACTGTTTGCCATTCCTCTAGGAGTTGGATCTGCCATCCAATTTATTCTCCACATTACTGCTCCATTTTTTAAATGAAAGTTTGCTAAAAGAATTAAGTAATGAAGTATTTTAACTATAATCATGGATGAGGTTGGTTTATTGTTGTTAAATTTGCTTACCAACACCATTTAAAGCATAATTCCTACGTTTTTCTTTAAATAAATACCATGCACAAGAACGCAGTAAAGGCTCTTTTAAAATATCTGTCAATTGTTTGTTATTTGACCACAAAGAGTTATTGAAAATTTTTTTCATTTCTGTATATAAGTTGTTGCTACTGTTATTAGAATTTTCATCAAAACCCAGAACATTTTTCAAAGTTACTTGTTCCTTCTCAGTAAATATTGTATTTACATCTAGAAACACATGACATAATTATTTATCAAAGTTTCCAACTCTATAATAATGAAATTTAAAAATCTATACCCCTTTTCATCTTGTCCAAAAGCCAAACTCTGAAATTAGGGATGGGTGATAAACTAGATAATTGGTTTACTTCTGGGAATTCTGTAGTTATATGTTTTGCAACTTGTTTTATTAAATAATTTCCAAGTTCAATTCCCTGAAAAATTAAAATTAAAATTCAATATTGTATTGTTTTTTTAAAATCATGATAACAACTTTATTCTTGTTCATCATTATAATTAGTACCTGTAATCCAGATTGAGTAGATGCAATTGAGTAGAAAATGGCAGCTTTTATATTAGTTTCATCTTCAATGTTTTTTTTGTTGCCAGCCTTTTCTCGTATTCGTTTTTCAGATTCTTCAATCCCCTTTACACTTTCTACAAAAAGCAATCATAAGTATTTGTAATTGATTATTTCATAATGATTGGGTACAAAAGACAATAATAACCAGGAATAATGTCACATAAAGCTGTGTGTAAAACAACTAAAGGCTCCCTGGGCATTGATGGATGAGTAAATATAAAGCATCGTCTGTAAGGTCCAACACGTTTTTTTAAATCAGTCCAGTTTCTTACAGGATGTATGGCTTCATAATCGGAGACCTGAATAGTATTTTTAAATTAAAAATGTATCTTGATACTAGAAGAGCAACAAGAAAATTTCAGTCTAGTTATACTTTTTGTAAAATATCACAAGGAGTTTCCCATGTAACTCTTTCAATTTTGAGAAATCCCACAGAAAACCATAAAAAGAGCAGTTCTTTCAATGTTGCATCCATTTGACCAAGCATGAGTAGATCACTGGAATCTCTGGGCAATTGATTCATAGTTTCCTGTAAAATTTGAAATTTATTTTAAAATCAGCGTAAGTACTGGTCTCGAATGAAATAGTTTACTATGAAAGCAATTAGTTACCAAAAGATTAGCTCTCATATCAACGAGGAACTTGACACCGTCCTTGAGTCGGCCGACTCTCGCGAAGAACCAATGATAGGGCGGCTGAAGTGCATCCTTCAAGGCTTTTTCTCTGGTCAAGAGTCGATTGAGGCTGCTCGGCTATCGATTAATTAGAAAAAATTAATTTAATCATTACGATTCAGCCTTTGGTAAACGAACCTCGGTGCACGCGAGTTTTTTTGACAGCTCGCATATTCTGTCATGATCGACGGCGTGCCGAGTCGCGAGCAAAGAGAGGAATTTGGCCTTATCCTCTTTGGACAGTTCATCGTACTTGGAGTGCAAGGCGCTGACGTTCGACTGGAAAATATTGTAAAAATGCGATTAATTGAAAGACTGCACGTAAGCAATACCGATAATCTCAATATTATTGGGAAACGACGGAGCGGACAAAAAAATTACTGACTTCGACGACCCAGCTGCTGCTGTTGTTTTTCGTTCTCAGACCGATGACTCGATCAAGCTCTTCCGCAATGGGGCAGTGAATAGTAGTAGTAGTAGTAGTAGTAGTAGTATTGTCAGAAGAAGAATAAGAAGCGGAGGCAAAATTTGCTCTTCTAACAGAAACAGCCAAGGAGCAGCAACTACTGCTGCTTATACTGCTGCTGCTGCTCGTCCTCGTCGATTTTTTACCTCGGGCGACGAGCAATAAGGAGCAGTTATTGTACGAGGAGGCTGCACGACGAGCCAGTCGCCGAGGAAGCAACGCGAGAGGTAAGAGTGCCATAGTTTTCACACACACTCACACTCGCGCTCGATCAACAGGTTGCCGGCTTGAGGCCTGAGATTGATCGTATAAACACACTTTTGCTGTACTGTATTCAAACACACGCTTAAAAATATAAAAACAGTCCACACGAGTCGCAAGACCGATTAGAGAGAACCAGCGCGCACATTTACAATATAATACATGTAACGCGGACTTTCTGATAGGCACGTGTGTGTAATATTAGCAAGTGTGCGTAAACAAAGAACGATGCGCGCAAAGAAAAACACGCGATGTAATGTCACACACATGTACACATGATTATAATGAATCGGTCTGGTCGCGCGAGTAATCGTGTATATATAATACATAAGCTCCGCGCCGGCGACCTCGCGCTCTATCTATCTCCACAAGAACACATTCTGTCATCGCGCCCACGATATATCTGTATCTATAATAATGTCATATATGTGTATCGTATATCGCACAGACACTTTTGTTGTTGCAATGAGAAATCTCGAGCAGACGGCGACCTGCTCCTTAACTAACACACATTTATATTATTATATACATCGATATCGCCCGCGGAGCATTCCGTTCAAATATAGAGCTCGTGCGACTGCTGCACACGGGGGTAAAACACAATTTCTCGTGTGTTGTTATAAAAGGAAAGGTAAGGGGAAATCGGATGTCTCGCAGCGCGGGGGGAAAGGGGCAGGAGGGTGGACTCCGTTGTTGTTGACGAGCTGTATATAAAACGCACCTCGTCGCGATGTTGTTGCACGGCGCAGCGCAGGCAGCAGCCGAGCCGCCGAGCACCGCCGCCGCGCAGTATTTATATACATAAAATTCGCGTGCACACCTCCTATACATGTATTGGCAAATCGTGCAATTCGCTTATACGTTGTGTGCTAGTGCATGTGTACCACATGTATACACCGTTTAGTCTGTTTGTGTGCGGTGTGCAGACGTGACTGTAAACCTCGCACGCGCGCAGAGTCTCGCGGAGAGCGGCGAACGTGTGCATCAGCACGTTTAGTGTCCGACCGATTGCGTGTCTAGTAGCTGCAGTGTGTAGAATATAATGCTGCGCGCAGCTCCGCGTTTATAATTGATGTTTTTGTTGTTGTTGTTGTTCGCTCGCATATAGAGAAGAAGAAGAATTACCAAGTGCAGCCGCTCACTCGTAACGCGTCTCTAGACTAGGAAAGAACGCAATTGTATCGTTGTCAATCGCGCACAGCTGACCTATTCGAGTTTTTTTAAGTTAACATAGGATTATACTCCGAAGTCCTTATATTGGTAGTATTGGTGCTGCCACTACTGTATGCACGATTGCCGGATTTTTTTGCACGAGTGCGAATTTTGCTTTATTAATTTTCGAGACATCGCGCGCGTGTTATTTTAGCGCCGGTGAGACTATGTGTGTAATTGATCAAAGTCACGCGCGGTCTATATTTGTTGTCGCTGCCATTGTACGGTAAAAGAAAAATACGCGCAAAAATCCGCGGTGTTGTCAGCCCTCCGTTTTTACATAACGTTTTGATTTTCATTATTACCCGAGCAGGTATGTCAATGTGCGTCGACTATGTAACGTAACGCATACGTTTTTATTCGTTCGCGCTATATTCGGGCATTAATACAGTGACTTTTTATTTTGAATCGCAGACGGAGCGCAGAGAGCTACATCGTTCAAGGCCGCGTACTTACTTTTTAAGTGCATCTCTTGTGCACGCAACTGACGTTTGATTGAATGTGCCTTAGAGCGCAGACGGCAGCGGCAATAGTAGCAGCTAAGAAGAAGAAACGGCAACAACTGGCACGAGGACGAAAAACGTTCTTTTTCATGATCGGCCTGGTAAGGTGGAAAAAGGAATTTTTCGACAATGGTTTATGCCTCCTCAGAACCAGGCTACCACCACGCCATTGCTGGGGCAGCCAGCGGATGCTTGACGAGGTTCATCTGCCAGCCCTTGGACGTCGTTAAGATTAGGTTTCAGGTAAATTTGCACTTCCGTTCTTACTCATTCCTGCATGTTATGGCTTTTGATTTGTTCTAACGTTTAATGTTTGTGTTGTCAAATTTCAGTTGCAGGTAGAGCCCATTAAGAAGAACTCTTCCAGCAAGTATCATTCGATGTTGCAAACCTTTCGTTTGATCGCAAAAGAAGAAAGTGTTTATGCTTTGTGGAAAGGTCATGTTCCAGCCCAACTGTTGTCTGTCATCTTTGGAACAAGTCAAGTACGTTGTCATGTCTTTCAAATTACTTATTTAGATAAAATTTCTTATTTATAAATTACTTGAACCATCTTTTCCCTGCTGCAGTTCTATGTATACATATTAGTCAATCAATATTTGGAGCAGATAAATTCATTGAGTGATAAGACAAAAACAGTTCATTTTTTTAGTGGAGCCTTTGCTGGCTGTTTTGCAACAGTGACATCTTTTCCTTTGGATACAATTAGAACTAGACTCATTGCACAATCGTCTCAAAATCAAGCATACTCTGGAACCCTACACTCATGCGCGCAAGTACTTTCTTTATTTGTCTCGAGCAACTTAATAACTTTTGATACTCATATGGTATTGTTTTATTCTTAACAGTATGATATATAAGACTGAAACCCCCAAAGGTTTTTTCCGTGGATTACTGCCAACATTGTTGCAAATAGCACCTCATGCTGGGTTACAGTTTGGAACCTATGAGTTGATGAAAGATATCAAATTTCTGCCAGGCAACTTACCTGAAGATTCTGTGAGTTACAAAAATATTTTGGTGATGATGATTGTATTTCTTCATAATGACTCATTACTTTTGATTTTTCTAGCATCATCACAAAAGAGTTAGTGTCATAAACAGTTTAGTTGCTGGCTGCCTAGCTGGTCTAGTTGCAAAAACTATAGTTTATCCTTTGGATTTAGCTAGAAAGCGAATGCAAATCCAAGGTTTCGAGCACGGTAGAAAAGGATTTGGAGGTTTCTTTCGCTGCAGTGGGCTGATCCATTGCCTGGTACTGACTGTCAAACAGGAGGGTGTAGCAGGGCTATTCAAAGGTCTGGTACCTAGTCAATGGAAAGCTGCGCTAATGACTGCTTTACATTTCACATTTTACGAGCAGACATTGTACTTCATTCGGAGCGCTCATCCGATTGATGAAAAGTGAGGGATTGAAACAACATAGTTTATTTGATGAATTTTACTAGTAAAGTTTACAAATACAACCTGGTGATACTAGCTTAGGGCTAGAATTAATGATATAATTTACTATAATTTAATAGATAAGTTGTTTAACAAGCGAACCAAAACCATCACTTTGTATTAAAAGAAAGAAAAAAAATATGGTTCACAGAGGCTCATGTACAGACTGTTTACACCTGTATCGACGTTCTTTTATATAAATGTAAAAACAGTGACATGAATTTTGATTTGTTAATTTTTAAAAACTAATACAGAAGACTTTCTAAATAAATGATGTATATGCAATCAAAGAACCACGATTATTTAATTATTAAATCTAATCCTATAATCCTAAAAGCAAAAAAATCAATCCGGAATTTTTATAATTAAAAAAAAAATAAAAAAAACTAAACCAGAATACCGTGTAAATAAATTACAATTCGATGATGCTCCGAAATCCGATCAATTTTCTTGCGTACAGCGTGCATCGAACTCCAGTTTGTATTTAAAAACATAACATACATACACACATACACAGACACACAAATATGCCTTATATACAATACGGTAGTAATACAACAGCAGCCAGAGAGCACGAAATTGAAAATTCCGTAGGGGGGCCCCTCGTAACACGCTCCTGAGCCGTAGGTGGGGATCGCCGAACGAGGGGCCCCAGCCGTGTCAGCAGCCATTTTACTGGAAAAGTCGGCCGCGCGCACGGCCCTGGCGGAATTCAATCGACACTTACAGTCGCGGCGACGCAATATTGTACAGCAGCGCGGTAGAGAGACCACGAACGAGCGAATCGAAACGAGTGCGGCACAGTCTTAGGGGCTACTCTGCATCACCCGGTGCTTCGGTCGCTCTTCGCACATCATAACTTTGCAGTCAAGTCAGGTACCAAATATTATTATTACTTTTATCGTTGCACATTCGTTACGGGATTTCGTTCGTTGCGCGAGTCTCGGCTCGAACCTATCGATAATAAAAAGTTGATATTGCGCGAGTTAGCAGGTAGGAGTTGCAGACGTATACGACGAGTGTAGAGTGGATTTTTTTTTTTTTTCGTGTCTCTGCCTTGTCTCTGTGTGTGCGTGTGCGTTGCGTTTGTGCCGTTATGGGCGCTGCTTAATACAAGCACAAATTGGAGTCGCGCTGCACGGGATGATGCAGCGGGCCACACACTGGTGTGTATCTTGCATTAAATACAGCAGCGAGCGGCACAATTCGACTTTATGCTGTGGGCTAGCAGCGACAGCAGCAGCACGAGGCGGGTCAATTGATGCTGTGTGTACGTGTGTGTGTGTGTACATTCGCGCAATGTCCGACAGCGTAAAACACGCAAAACGTGAACAGTCGGATGCCGGCAAAATGCCTATATAACCTCTCTCTTAACTTCAAACTCGGTCTCTGTATGTCCGTCTCTCTCTCTCGTTTCGCAGAACTCGGCGTCGAACGTTCTCGAGGCGCGGATCGGAAAGCGAAGAGGATACACAATATATATGCACGATGCCGCGCGCTACATATATACAAACACACACACGCACGCATACTGATGCATACGCGTAAACCGCGTTATATATTGCGATGCATACGGCTTACGGACAGGCTTACACTCGGAATTGAATTACATTGGCGCGCTTTGCGGGCATGTTTCGCGTTATTATTACATACGCAGGGGCCCACACACAACACACACAGCTCTCGGGTCGTTGTTCCGCGTTAGATTTTTCCTCCTATATGTCGGCTCCGATTAACGCTTGTTGACCCTCGCATGCCCATGATACACATTTATTATATTCAATACAAACGCGTAATAAATACAGAGAATAGACAGTTGGCTGGGATGGACGCGCTTATCGACTCGATCGAGCGTGTATCAAGTAGAATATTCCGAAGTAAATAAACAATCGACGACGATATAATGACGTTCGAAACTTTCGAATTGAACTCGACGGCCGCACGTGTCTATCCGCGACTATGCGATAATAAACACACACAAACACACCCGCCAATTACGACGCGGCGTCCCGCCAAAACAACGCGCGATATTCGGAGCTCTCTGACATTGTTCCTTTTTTTCTTCTTTTTCATTTCACACCACGATGACCACTCACCCCGCCCTGGAACACGGCTACGCAGAAAAAGAAAGGAAAAGTAAATCAAGAAGATGGGTGATCTCCACGCTGCCACTGTGGTACTGAGCCAGGACAGCCTCGCCGTAGCTCAACTGGAGCTCGGCAGCAATCCCAATGCCCTCTCGCTGCGCCGGCCCTTCGATCCGGCAGCTCACGACCTGGACGCCAGTTTCCGCTTGACGCGGTTCGCGGACCTAAAAGGATGAGGGTGCAAGGTCCCTCAGGAGATTCTTGGTAAACTCCTCGAGGGACTGCAGGCCGACGATAACGGCGCCCAGGATCATGAGCACGCCCAATTCATTCACATGGCGACACCGCGAATCGGTAAGAACGCCCTCCTCTTTTATAAAAATGATGATAACTTTCGACGTCTCTCTAACTCTGTTTTGCGTGATGTTTTTGTCCATAGGCATAGGGATGGATTCGTCCGTGACTCCATTGAGACATGGCGGGCTCAGTCTCGTCCAGACAACGGACTTCTTCTATCCACTTGTCGACGATCCATACATGATGGGTGAGCGGCGCACGATACACAGTCTTTTTATTGTTATAATTAATAATCGTCACACATCATTTCATGCAAGCAACAAACAAAATATGTGTTTTACGTAAAAAATAATCACGGCGGCCAATCGCGTCGTTCGAATCGCGGTTTTCTCTATCTATTTACAGGCAAAATAGCTTGCGCTAATGTCCTTAGCGATCTGTATGCCATGGGCGTCACCGAGTGTGACAACATGCTCATGCTCCTCGGCGTCAGTACCAAGATGATGGAGAAAGAGCGCGACGTCGTCGTGCCGCTCATTATGCGTGGCTTCAAGGATTCGGCCACCGAAGCTGGTACAACGGTTAGCGGTGGACAAACTGTCGTCAATCCCTGGTGCACAATCGGTGGAGTGGCCACCACAGTTTGCCAACCCAACGAGTACATAGTGTGAGTGCCGTCATTCAAAATCGCTACCTACGCCAATTTTCATGACGATTATTTTCATTTCTTTCTTTCCTTTTGTTTCCTTTTGCAGTCCTGACAACGCGGTCGTAGGTGACGTTTTGGTCCTCACGAAACCGCTGGGCACTCAGGTAGCCGTAAACGCACACCAATGGCTCGACCAGCCCGATCGATGGAATCGCATTAAGCTCGTGGTGAGCGAAGATGACGTTCGCAAGGCCTATCAGCGAGCCATGGACAGTATGGCGAGACTCAACAGAATAGCCGCGAGGCTCATGCACAAGTACAACGCGCACGGCGCGACGGACGTCACGGGCTTTGGCCTGCTGGGCCACGCGCAGAATCTCGCCAAGCACCAGAAGAACGAGGTGTCGTTCGTCATTCACAATCTGCCGGTCATCTCGAAGATGGCCGCGGTGGCCAAGGCCTGCGGCAACATGTTCCAGCTTCTGCAGGGACACTCGGCTGAGACCAGCGGCGGACTCCTCATCTGTCTACCTCGGGAGCAGGTGCGCGCGATACACAATACATTTTTGAAAACTTGCCCCCTCGCGTGCATCGATTTTTTTTACTAATTCATCGACGGGCTTCTTTCAGGCGGCAGCGTATTGTAAGGACATCGAGAAGCAAGAAGGCTATCAAGCTTGGATCATTGGCATCGTGGAGAAAGGAAACAGGACGGCAAGGATCATTGACAAGCCCCGAGTTATCGAGGTCCCCGCTAAGGAGAAAGACGGCGAGTTATGGTAGAAAGAACTAGGAGAAATCAATCGAAAGCACGTTCACCCGTTCGTTATATCGTATGTGCCGCTGCCAAACTTATACTAGGCTGATAACATCATTTTATTTAATTGTCAAGACTTTTCGAACGGGCTTTTCAGCCAAAAAAAAAGATGACAATGATGTTACTTTTACTATAAAAATTCATATGGACATATGTATATACATTGATGAATTTATATGCATTTTTTAATCAATAGCTCAATGAGCTTGAATCTAGTTGGTCCTGTGAGAATCATGTCTAAATGTAAAAGAGAAATCAAGATCCTGATATTTTCGACACATTTATTTTTTAACTTAAAAAATATACATAAATTCTACTCAATAAACACTTTACATACACACACACACACACACATCACACGGACACAACATATAATTGTATACACACTATTATTATTATTATTATTAACTCTTCGAGTGTCCACGTTTCTGTTGGTAATTTATTATTATTATTATAACTATTATTTTTTTACGATACTTTGCTGAAAAAGACTCAGGATCTAAAAAATGTATTAAACCTTTTTTTTTCGTACGTATTAAATAAATTGCTACTTTATCAAAACATAAAAAAAAAAAACAGATTAAGATGAGAAAAGTCATTCGAATTTCCCTCTGACCCGACACCTAGTCTCGAGGCCGCGGCGCGCAAGGCTTACGGCGTAATCGAACTTACACTCACACGCACACAGACGTACACGAGGAGCACGCACAGTAGTGGTAAAGCTTCTCGCCGCTCTCTGCTTGCAAGCGCGCGACGACGACGCGTTGTTACGTAATATCTCGAGCGGTCGTGTCTAGTACACTCGGCGTGTGTGTAATAGCCGCCGGACTCGTAGTACCTGCTCTTATACCAGTGTCGCGTAAACGCTCGAGTCGCGTCGAGCTTTCGTGCGTACGGGATAATAATTTATACATTACAACATTTTGCGACAATGTCATCGGAGGAGGACCTCCCGAATGATCATCGTCATCGTCAGTAGTAGATTGGTTACTCGCACGTAGCAAATAGGCCAGAGGAGGAGGAGGAGGATGGTAGCCTTGAGCGCGGCGGCCCAGGCCCAGGCGGCCTTCAGAGCCGTCATACTCGGCGCACCGGGCTCGGGCAAGGGCACCGTCTCGCATCGCATCGCCAAGCTCTTCGGGGTCTGTCACATATCCACCGGCGACAGGCTCAGGTATCACATAGCGAAGCAGACCGGTGAGTGGTGTGCGCGCAGAGATCGCAAATTTTTTCACGCATATAGCTTTTGAAAGATAAAACGCAATTTTTCACGAAAATCATTTTTGTTCCGCAGAGCTGGGTAAGCAGGTAAAGGAATACTTGGATTCGGGCAAACTCGTGCCCGACGACGTGATGATGAAATTCGTCAGTCAAGAGATCAAATTGTCGAAGGGACAGAATTGGCTACTGGACGGTAACGACGTTTTCCGCACGCGATTTCTACAAGTATCGTATTATAAAAGTAACGCCGATTATTTTTTTTTTCGTCGCCAAGCGCAGGATTTCCCAGAACGGTGCCTCAAGCCGAGATGCTCGACAGCGCACATCCGCCCTCGCTGGTGATCAATCTGACGGTGCCCGACGCCGTCATACTGGAACGAGTGAAAAATCGCTGGATCCACGTGCCGAGCGGCCGCGTCTACAATATCGGATTCAGCGATCCCAAAGTGCCGGTACGATACGAGCAAAATAATAAAAATTCGATTACGTCATGTCGTGTAATTATGATGATGATGATAACGTGAAATTGTGAAACAACAGGGAAAGGACGACGTGACCGGCGAGCCGCTGACGAAACGTCGGGACGACCAGCCGGAGATCGTCCAGCGCAGACTGCACGAGTACGAGGAGAAGACGCGGCCGGTGATCGATTATTACGACGAGCGCGGCTTGCTCAGAGACTTCGCCGGCGTCAGTACGGACGAGCTCTGGCCGCAGATAAAACAGTGTCTTCAAGCCCTTATTTAATTGCAAAAATTATTCGTGCATGTAATGATGATGCGCGACGATGATCGTCGAGAGCACGAGAATCTTAATGCACATTGTACAGTAATCGAAGGAAAAAAGCTGATATAGTTGAATGTTGTTAGAAATGTAATACTTTTTTATACAAAAGACTGATTTTGCCTAAATAAAATGAATACGAGAGATTTTAACAATTATAAATCCGAGTTATGATTTTTTGCTCGTGGATCATGTTGTATTTGGAATTATTTATATTCGAATGGATGATCGACGTAACGAGATGAACGTCGGTCAAAATACTTTGTAGCGTTTGATACTCGTAAACACAATGTCGCGAAGGAAAATAATTTGAGAGAGAAATTAGCTATTGTTCATGAAGCCATATCACCAACTAAGATTTCTAAAAGTTATTTCATTATTTTCTAAGATTATATACTTATGTCATATCTCAAATTCGAGTTACATGACAAGACATGATGTGATATGATAATGTGACGTCTCGATAAATCAATAAATTTTTTTTTCTCTTCTCCAAACGTATTTTACGGAGCGCCCTTACTGTCTTACGTCGCAATTATTTCCCTACATTACCGACCTCGTCAGATGTTTTACTCTATTACCGATAATTTTTAATTTATTCATAAAATTATAAATATAGTCGATATATACAGTGGTGATTAGAAAAAAGGCTGCTCCTACGAAAACTTTCACTTGCCACTCAAGCGATTCGAAAACAACTATGCTAGAGCTTTGACTAATTTTAAAGAAATTTAGATAACATTTTTTTAGTTTAAATTGAATTAATAAATGATTTTTTCATATAGAACATATTGTTATTACCTGTATCTCGTAGCCAAATCTGTCTGTCAGCAAATTTATCAAAATGTTTCGCAAGCGCTTGTTACATTAATTTAGACACGCTATATTATTACGTAAGGTTTATCAAAAATCCTGTAGATATATGAAAACTCGCTCCAACCATAGTTCCGAATAAGCCGTACAAAAACATTTTGAGTTGATCGTTGCATGAAGAGCTTCAGAAACAAAATAGTCAAAAATTCATTGAGAGTAGAATTATTAATACACGAAATTTGGAAATACCACAAAGTCGGTGTACTAAGGTATAATGTTGATTATAAACGCTGAAGGTTCAGATTATATACTATTATTCCAGCACAATTTTTATTCAAAATTTCAGAAAAAAATACTTTTTTGAGTGTTCATACATATTAACAATTGTCAATCATTATTTCTTCTAGTAATCGTCGCAAAAAAATATTTGCGACTTTAATGAGCTGTTTGTTGGTGTACAAGCAAATGTACTTTTTGTCCGAATTTCTTTTCACACCTGTCGCATGCGAAATCTTTCCGACCTTCGTGGACTGTCCTTTGGTGCTTTAACAAATCTGATTTACTCCCACATTTCCTTTCGCAATTATCGCATGCGTAGCTTTTGCGACATTCATGTACCGTCTTTTGGTGTATGTGCAAATCAGCTTTTCGTCCAAATTTCTTCTCGCAATTGTCGCACTCGTAATCTTTGCGACCTTCGTGGACTGACTTCAGGTGAGTAAGAAAATTTCCTTTTAGTCCAAATTTCTTTTCGCATTGGTCACATGCGTAATCTTTCCGACCCTCATGTACTGTCTTTTGGTGGGTGAGTAAATCCCACTTTCTTCCAAATTTCTTCTCGCATTTGTCACATGAGTATTCTTTGCGACCATCGTGTACTGTCTTTTGGTGGTAGAGCAAACTGGGTGATTGTTTAAATTTCTTTTCGCACTTGTTACATGCAAAATTTTTCCGACCTTCGTGAACTTCTTTTTGATGTTTTCTTAAATTGCTCCGTAGCCCAAATTTTTTCTCGCAATTGTCGCACTCGTAATCTTTGCGACCTTCGTGGACTGACTTCAGGTGAGTAAGAAAATTTCCTTTTTGTCCAAACTTCTTTTCGCATTGGTCACATGCGTAATCTTTCCGACCCTCATGTACTGTCTTTTGGTGGGTGAGTAAATCCCACTTTCTTCCAAATTTCTTCTCGCATTTGTCACATGAGTATTCTTTGCGACCTTCGTGAACTTCTTTTTGATGTTTTATTAAATTGCTCCGTAGCCCAAATCTCTTCTCGCACTTGTCGCATGCATGATCTTTGCGACCTTCGTGAACTGTCTTTTGGTGGAGAAACAAATACGATTTTGTAATAAATTTTTCTCCGCAATTGTCACATGCAAAATCTTTGCAACTTTTGTGTACTGTCTGTTGGTGCACTAACAAATCTGATTTTAGTGTAAATTTTTTTTCGCATTTGTCTCATAAGTGATTTTTGCGACCCTCGTGAACTGCCTTTTGATGTGAGAGCAAATGCGATTTTTCTATAAATATCTCGCCGCACTTGTGGCATGCGAAATCTTTGTGGCCGTTATGGACTCCCTTTACGTGTGTGAATAAAGTCTGCTTGCTTGCAAATCTCTTGGCGCACCTTTCACACATGTAATCTTTAAAAACTTCGTGGAATATTTTTTTATGTTTAAATAATAGTTATTTATGTAACAAGTGCCCAAAAGGCGTTTTTGGGCACGAGTGTGCGGAAAAAGACATGAGTGCCGGCCATGCCGGCACGAGTGGGTGTTTTTTCCGCACACTGTGCGCAAAAAGCTGGGCACGTGTTGCATACAAAATTTTATGCAATAGTAGACGAAAAGTACTTTCATTTAAATGAGACGTTTTACCGCACACCCGTGTCCAAAATGAGATATTTTACCGCACACGAGTGTCCAAAAACGCTTTTTGCGCACTAAAAAATGTGCGAAAAAAGACGTTTTTCGTCATACTATTGCATAAAGTTAATTTATTTTCAAATTTTCTGTCGCACTTGTTGCACATGAAATCTTTGCAATCTTTGTGTACTAATTTTTGGTGCGTAAATAAACTCGATTTTTTCACAAATTTCTTCTCACATCTGTCGCATGGAAAGTCTTTGCGGCCTCTATGTTCTGATACTTGGTGTCTACTCAAATGACTTCGGAAATCGAATTTTTTCTCGCACTTGTCGCATGAGAAATCTTTTTTTTCATTGTGAATTGCGTCTTGGGGCGATATCATGATTGATTCTAATGTAAATGCCTCCTGGCAAATATCAACTTTTTTTTCGTCAGAAACAACAATGTCGTGTTCACTTGAATTATTTTCTGAGAGAACTTCTTCGGGTTTCTTCTCACTTTTATCCATTTTAGTGTCTAAATTGATTGATGGATCTTTCGATTTGTTCCACGGAAATTAGATGAATAACATTTAAACTAATTTTCACTATAAACATGATCAGTGTGTCGAGGGACGATGTTAAAATCGTTTATGATCATTGATCATATTGTTTACAATTAAGATACATATTTATCTGTTTATACGTGATTCTTAATTATAATATTTGAAACAATTTAAAATTTTAACTCGGCGACGAGTAAAAATATCGAGATTGTACCGTTGAAAAAATTGAAACAACGAAACATTCACGAGTCCAATGAGATATAGAACATGGCAGCAGAAATTTTAACGTTCTCATAATTAATTTGGTTGATAAAAATTTTAATTTTTTTCGGATAAAATAATATCTCAATAAAGGCCGCAAGTAAATTTTTCGTCAAGTTACATCGAAGAGCAATTTCAAAATCGCCAAGTTCGTATCTTCATAAGCTTGCGAGATCAAAGTACGTGGTCTACTCGATAATTTATCACTCCACAGGTAGAACACTTCAGAACCCAAACAGCTAAAAAAATGCATAGAGTTTAGTAATTAGTAGAACACGAAATTTGAAAACCCCGAAATGTCAGTATACTAAGGTTTAATGATAATAATTCCAAGGCCAAGATACATATTTGCAATTGTCAAACATTAGTTCTTTTAGTATCCATCGCAAACAAAATCTTTGTTATCTTTATGGATTTTCATTTGGTGCTTGAGCAAATGTACTTTTTGTCTAAATTTCTTCTTGCACCCGTCGCATGCGAAATCTTTGCGACCTTCATGGACTGTTTTTTGATGACAGATCAAATTCGATTTTCGACCAAATTTTTTCTCGCATTTGTTACAGGAGTAATCCTTACGACCTTCATGGACTTCCCTTTGGTGCGAGACCAAATACGATTTTAGTCCAAATTTCTTCTCGCACTTGTCACATGTGTAATCTTTACGATTTTCGTGCACCGTCTTTTGGTGAAAAAGTAAAGTAGACCTTTGTCCAAATTTCTTCTTGCACTTGTCACATTCAAAATCTTTGCGACCTTCGTGGATCGTTCTTTGGTGTGAAAGCAAATGATGTTTGTGTCCAAATTTTTTCTCGCACTTGTCGCACGGATAATCTTTGTGACCTTCATGTATTGTCCTTTGGTGTCTGATCAAATGCGATATTTGTCCAAATTTTTGCTCGCACTTATCGCATGTGTAACCTTTAAGACCTTCATGGACTGTTTTTTGGTGTTGGAGCAAATGCCCTTTTTGTCCAAATTTTTTCTCGCATTTGTCACATGCGTAATTTTTGCGACACTCGTGTATTGTCCTTTGGTGTTGAAGCATATTCGATACATATCCAAATTTTTTCGCACACTGATTACATGCGTAATCTTTGCGACCGTCATGTACTGCCCTTCGGTGGTTCAACAAATCTGAGTTACTTATAAATTTATTCTCACACTTGTCGCATGCAAAATCTTTGCGACCTTCGTGGACTGTTTTTTGGTGGAAGAACAAATGCGATTTGTCCCTAAATTTTTTCTCACATTTGTCGCATGCGTAATTTTTGCGACCATCATGTACTATTCTTTGGTGCTTGAGCAAATTTCTTTTTTGTCCAAATTTCTTTTCGCATTGGTCACATGCGTAATCTTTCCGACCTTCATGTACTGTCTTTTGGTGGGAGAGCAAACTCGGTTTTCGTGTAAATTTTTTCTCGCATTTTTCACATAAGTATTCTTTCCGACCACCGTGTACTGTTTTCAGGTGAAAGAGCAAATGTGATTTTTCAATAAAATTTTCTCCACAATTGTTACATGGAAAATCTTTGTGATCCTCATGGATTGTCTTGACATGTCTGAGCAAACTTCGTTTATTTCCAAATCTCTTGGCACACCTTTCACACAAGTAATCTTTAAAAACTTCGTGGAATACTTTTTTGTGCTTGAGTAAAGTTGATTTATTTTCAAATTTTTTCTCGCACTTGTTGCATGGGAAATCGTCGCGGCCTTTATGTTCTGATATTTGGTGTCTACTCAAATGACTTCGGAACTCAAATTTCTTCTCGCACTTGTCGCACACAAAATTTTTTTGTTCATTGTGAATCTTGTCTCGGTGTGTTATCATGCTTAATTCTAGTGTAAATGTCTCCTTACAAATATCACAAACGTATTTTTTTTCGTCAGAAACAACAATGTCGTGTTCACTCGAACTATTTTTAGAGAGAACTTCTTCGGGTTTCTTCTCACATTTATTCATTTTAGTGTCTGAATTGATTGATGGATCTTTCGATTTGTTCCACGG